ATTTATTTATTTTTATTATAATTTAATTTAAATTTAATAACGAAATAATTTATTTTTGGTTTAATAATATAAACATTTTATTAGATTATAATTAAGTATTCTGTTAGAACTCAATAATTATCCTAAGTTATTTGATTATGTTTATCCGCAGTTAGTTATACGAATTCATATATGAAACTTTAATAAGTTGTACTTATGCACAATCTACTTGCAATCTTGAATTTTAAGTAATATGCATTAATAAACAGTACTTTATGTACAAAAAATAGTTTTTAAGAGTTTTTTTCAAATACTTTATAATATAATATAGATTATTTGAAAGGGGTAAAATATTAAATATAATACGATTTTAGTAAAAAGAAATGGTAAATCTAATTCGTCCCCTGTAATTGGTTATGTAATTGATAAGTATGAAACCAATCCATAACCCATTTGTAAAAGAGGGATCTACTTGGATTTTGTCTTTTTGTGTGGATGGATTCCTTTGACTTTTTATTGTCAGGGAACTGGGAGACAAAACATGTACAGGGTTTGACCTGGTGGGCATAACTTTACGCACAAAGTACATAAATTCATTTTGTATTACAACTTTTATTTTTTAATAATATTGCAAGTGTTACGTCCATATCAATTAATTAGAAACCAAGTCAACGCCGCAACATGTATATATCTATATTTATATTATATTATAAAACATTTAATAAAAAATTTTAAAAATTATTTTTTAAATATAAAATATTGTTTATTGATTCATATTACTTAAAATTCAAGATTACAAGTAGTTTTGTATAAGTACAACTTATTAAAGCTCCATTTTTAAATTCGTGTGACTAACTGTAGATAAATATATTATCAAATACAGGATAAACATCTATTTTAAATATATAAAATCTAAAATATAATGAAGATAATCATTGAGTTTTAACATAATGTTTAATCATCATTTTTATAAATATATTATATATATATATCTATACTATCTTATAAAACATTTGGCTAAAACTCTTAAAACTTTTAAAAACTCTTAAAAACTCTTAAACTCGTTCATCCCTAAACGATTTCATCCCTATCCGATTTCATCCCTATCCGATTTCATCCCATATCTGAATTCGTATAACTAACTGCAAATAAACACAATCAAATACAAAGATTTAATTTTAAATATAAAAAATCTAAAATTTAATTAGTATAATCATTAAATTCTAACAGAATACTTAATTATTATCTTTATAAAATTTATAATATTAAACCAAAAAGAAATTGTTTTAT